GGAGAGGCTTTGGTACACAAGGGAGCGAGACCTTGGCAGAGCAGCCCGTCCATCCAGGGTGGCGGCAGGACGGTTCACACAGCCGCTGCCTCTGCTAATTTGGTTTCCCTCGTTTTGCAGTGCTCACTCCAAAGCAGCCAGCCAGTCATTTCTCAGTTACCACCAGGACCCCTCCCTCCCCCCTGCCCCCTGCACTCTCCTCTCTTTCTTTCCATGCTCACTAATCTTTTGCTACATTCTTGTCCCCCTGTGACCCCAGCCCCCTGCCTTACCAGGCCTGCCTTGCCTTTTGCAGGATTGGTCCAAGGCCAGTCCTTACGACCAGCCGGTGGTCACCACCCTGCAGCGGAGGAAGGACCGCGTGGAGCATCTGCGGGAGGCCGAGTTGGGCTCCGCCAGCATGGGGTATCCGGGAATTAACCTGGAAGACGTGCCCAGGCCCAGGATGTCCCCAGCTACCATCGCTGCCAAGGTACAGCTGTTAAGGAGTGAGGGGAGGGCAACATGGGACCATGGAGACTGTTTGCTGCACTGAGTGCCGGGTTCGAGCCCTGCTCTTGTGCAGTTCACTTTGCAGTTCGCTGGGAGTGCCTGGATGGCCAGACCCTGCCCTGGGGCTTGTTTGCTGCCCCTCGCTGGGGCCGGCCGGCCGTGTGCACAGACCCGCTGGCTGGGAATCGGCCCTGCCCGACTTGCAGTATTCATGTCAGTTGCTCCTGACTCCCAGTCATGCCCTGAGACCAGGGTGAGAGGAGCAAACTTCTCTGACTGGGAGCTAAGGCAGATTGTGACGGGTCTCACTGGTTCTCCAACAGCATGGCGAGGAGGTGTCCCCCGCTGCCAGCGACCTGGCCATGGTGCTCACCCGTGGCCTGAGCCTCGAACACCAGAAGAGCAGCCGGGATTCCCTGCAGTACTCCAGTGGCTACAGCACACAGACCACCACACCGTCCTGCTCAGAAGACACTATCCCGTCTCAAGGTAGCCCTCCATGCAGCCGGGCTGGCAAGGGGGCTGGGCTTTCCAGGCCTTGGAGCCAAGTGCTCAGCCAGGGCTGATGCCCAGGACTCACTGAGATCCACTGCTCGCGTGGCCAGGCCACTGCTGCAGGGATCTCAGGATGGAGCCACTGGGTTCCTTCTGCCGAAGGGATCAAACCAGGGAGAATAAATCAGAAGCTGCTGTGGATGGGGCCAAGCTGGGGGCTGGGAGGGAGTCGGGAGGTCCCATCATGCCGCAGGGCATTCTCTACATCCAGTTTGCAAACAGTATCTAGAGTCATAGAACTGTGGGGCTGGAGGGGACCTCGAGAGTGCACCCCCCTGTGCGGAGACCAGCCCGCACAGGGGTTTGTCCTACCTGCTCTTAAAACCTCCAGAAGTGGGGTTTCCTTGGTGACCTCGGTACTGAACACGTAAAAAACCGTTCCTTGTCACAAGCTGGAGCAGACCATGTCTTCGGCTTTTTCAACATTCGTTGCAAAATGTGGTTTTCCGTTTGCCCACCAGCTTGTGTTTGCATGGTGGTTTGTGGAGTGGTGGGTGGGCTTTGGTCACATTTGCAGCCATGACTGTGGGGTGGGGTGTTGTGGCTGTGTTGTAAGTGGTGTGTGTGTGTGTGTTGTTATGCTTTGTTTGCTTATTTCTGTGTTGTGTTATGTTTGTGTTGCGTGTAATGTGGTTGTTGGTGTGTGATGTGATGTTTTGATTGTGTGGTGTGTAGTCTGGTTGTTATGTTTGTATTGTGTTTTTTTATAGTAAGTTGTGGTTGTATTATGTGTAATGATGTGTATTTTGGATCATGCTGATTACAGGTGCTGGCAATTTGGCTCTGTGGTGTCGTTGAGTTGCTGGTGGTCATTGTGTGTGGAATGGGTTTGTTGCTGGTGGTTCTGTGTATGTAATGCGGTTGTTGTCTTGCTGGTTCATGTTTTGTGGTTGTGTTGTGCATGCTGTGGCTGGTGGTTTTGTAGCTGGAGGTTGTGGTTTGTGTGTCACGCTGATGTTGGTGATTGTGGTGCATGTATTGTGGCTCTGGTTGTGTTGCTGCTGGTGTTGTGGTTGTGGCATGTGTGTGGCATGCTGATGCTATGTATTGATTGTGTTGCACACGTGGTTGTGTTGCTGGTGGTGGTGTGGTTGTGGTGTGTGTGCGCCATGCTTATATGATGTGGTGTCGGTTGAGTTGCTAGTGGTCGTGTTGCACATGTTGTGGCTGTGGTTGTGTTACTGCTGGCGGTTTTGTGATATGTTTGTGCCATGCTAATGCTAGATTGTGTTGATTGTGTTGCATGGGTTAGTTTTGGTGGTTGTGCCTGTGTTGTGCTGACACTGCATATTGTTGGTGATTGTGTTGCATGTGTTGGGTGTGGTGGTGGTGTCGAGCTGACACTGCGTGTTGTTGGTGATTGTGCTGCATGTGTTGGGTGTGGTGGTGTGTCGCGCTGACGCTGCGTGTTGTTGGTGATTGTGTTGCATGTGTTGGTTGCGGTGGTGTGTCGCGCTGATGCTGCGTGTTGGTGGTGATTGCGTTGCATGTGTTGGTTGTGGTGGTGTGTCGTGCTGACGCTGCATGTTGGTGGTTGCGTTGCATGTGTTGGTTGTGGTGGTGTGTCGCGCTGACGCTGCGTGTTGTGGGTGATTGTGCTGCATGTGTTGGTTGTGGTGGTGTGTCGCGCTGACGCTGCGTGTTGTTAGTGATTGTGTTGCATGTGTTGGTTGTGCCTGTGTCGCGCTGACGCTGCGTGGTGTTGGTGATTGTGCTGCATGTGTTGGTTGTGCCCGTGTCGCACTGACGCTGTGTGGTGTTG